TCATTAAAACCCTGACTACTGATGTACTCAGTTCAGGGAAACAGGCCCACTTTCAAACTGTGATGCAGGTGGGCCCAATGTGTTGGTCTCCTATAACTTTTTTGGCATGCTACTGATTCCTATGTTATAGTATAATGGTAGATTCACTCCACAGCACTCATGTTTGAGCGTATGCGTCGATGATGTGCATTGTGGGAGTTCATTGCAATGTGTTTACATTTTTTTTTATTATTGTTTTTTTTTAAATGTAAAAGAGAAACATTTTCTTTCTTCATTCAGGAAGGTTCCTCAATGCATTTGGTGCAAAATAAACCGTAACCATTACCACTTAGAAGGCACATTTTAACAACTTCTAAAGGGCCAATTTATAAATGATTTCACATAATATTCACAGTTTCACCCAACATTCACACTTTTTTCTAATGGGATTTAATTCCACATTAGAAAATGTGTGAATCCTGGATAAAAGTTGTGTGAATATCTTGGGAAAGCATTTATAAATAGACACCTGTAGTCCTGTAGCTCATGCAATCATAGTCCTGTACACTGTTTAGCATCAGCGACAACAGATCGAGGTATCACTGTAACATTGCGCGGGAATATGTCCTCCTGGATCTCAACTGCGGGCTAGCAAGGTGTGCTCTATGGCCCCCTAGTGGCCAGTGATGCCTGAAAATATGTATATTATGGTGAGGACGGTGTTCAGTTTCAGTCCTACAGTCGTACGCTCAATTAAGAGGGAAGGCGTTTGTAGGTTGAAGGTGACAAGAATGTGCAGAGCATTAATGAAGGTGACAAGAATGTGCAGAGTGTTAATGAAGGTGACAAGAATGCGCAGAGCATTAATGAAGATGACAAGAATGTGCAGAGCGTTAATGAAGGTGACAAGAATGCGCAGAGCATTAATGAAGGTGACAAGAATGTGCAGAGCGTTAATGAAGGTGACAAGAATGTGCAGATCGTTATTGAAGGTGACAAGAATGTGGAGATTGTTATTGAAGGTGACAAGAATGTGCAGAGCATTAATGAAGGTGACAAGAATGTGCAGAGGATTAATGAAGGTGACAAGAATGTGCAGATCGTTATTGAAGGTGACAAGAATGTGCAGAGCGTCAATGAAAGTGACAAGAACGTGCAGAGCGTTATTGAAGGTGACAAGGATGTGCAGAGCGTTAGTGAAGGTGACAAGAATATGCAGAGCATTAATGAAGGTGAGAAGAATGTGCGGAGCGTTAATGAAGGTGACAAGAATGTGCAGAGCGTTATTGAAGGTGACAAGAATGTGCAGAGCAAGAATGGTGGTGAAAAGAAACTTGTGGTTACATTTTGTTTTTCATATGGTTCAGAACGAATTAACCTGATTTACATTGAACCCTATGGGAAAATGTGATTCGGTTTACAACCAATTCGGTTCGCGACCAGAATCGTGGAACCAATTAAGTTTGTGAACTCGAGGCACCACTGTAAATGAATATGAAAACAACTAATTTCCCCAGGTAGATGGGATTTATAGTTTTTAAGCAGACTTGTAGATATTCCTTATTTCCATGGTTGAACCGTTAAACTTTGAACCCACAAATAGTATTTAAGTATGCTATAGATCCGTATATAGAGGGATAAATACCATTTGCAGTCAATATGGGGGTAACACAGGCTGACGCATTGTTACGAGGTTGGAAACAGCTCAAGGCATTTATAATGTGATAGATTTGGGTCTCAGTCTTATGCCACATGTAAAATAAATAATCTGCGCTTCTGGAAAAATGGCTAGGATAAATATATAATATTAATTAAAACCTGAAGCAGCTATGAAAAAAGGATAAAAAATCCTTTAAATGAACAACAAAAATTCCAAAGCGCTAGAGGTGTGGGTTGTATAGAACTTGGTGCAACCAAGTATACAAGTGAATATATAATACAGTGAAAATAAGGGTTAAATGATTTAGCCTATACCCAATAATAAACAAATCAGAAGAAATCCTGCATGTAATCTAGGAAAAAGGAAGAACTAAATAACTCAATTGTATCAAGGGAACTGTGAAAAACAAGGCAGCGTTGAAACAACAAAGAAAATTAGCCACTATGTGAAAGTCTATTAACTAGTGATGGTATCCAATGTTAGTCAAATGTAATAAATTGTTGCATTAAATCATCAAAAAAAGTGTTTAAAAAAACATGATGACCTATCAAAAGGTCTATGAACAATATGTAACAATATGTAGGCGATCCACACAATAAAAAAATAATACATTAAATCGGAGTGTAGTGTTCAGTGGGTGGAAAAAAAACCCATAGGAAAACGTGTACAAGAAAAAAATGTTGACGGTATATTTTTTGACATGACGCTTTTCATCATGTGACTTTTTCAAAAAGAAGGTAGACGCTACCTTCTTTTTGAAAAAAAGTCACATGACAAAACGCGTCAAAGAGGGTAGATACTTGTTTTTTTGCACACAAGTTTTTTAAACTGTTCCAGAGCTACCTGTGTCGGCCGGACTTTTTATACTGCCTGTGTAAGTTGCTACTTTTAATAAATTTGTACATTTTTAATTGCTACACCATGAGGGCTCTCTCCTTTTTTTATTCCTAAAATATCGTGGGACCACGGCGAGAAGTTTCGCTAACACCACATCTGAGAAGATCCATCTTTGCGCTTCTGGGACACCGTCAGCGCTGCAAGGGAGAAGATTAAACACTCACCCTGCTGGGTCTCAGAGTGGAAACAACCGGGTCCAAAATAAAAGCGTGATCGTAAGCCCAAGTGCCCAAGTATTGTTACATATTGTTCATAGACCTTTTGATAGGTCATCATGTTTTTTTAAACACTTTTTTTGATGATTTAATGCAACAATTTATTACATTTGACTAACATTGGATACCATCACTAGTTAATAGACTTTCACATAGTGGCTAATTTTCTTTGTTGTTTCAACGCTGCCTTGTTTTTCACAGTTCCCTTGATACAATTGAGTTATTTAGTTCTTCCTTTTTCCAAGATCACATGCAGGATTTATGCCACATGTACCCAGTAGAAACATTACCTCTATGTATCACTATGCAGACAATTGTTTAAGCAAGCAAAAGCTGGGATCTGTAGTTCCACGGAAATATATATGGAGGAAAACGTTATGGTGCATTCACCCTGGAGCTAGTTGCTTAGCCAATGTGTGATGAATGAAAATTAGTACATCTACAGCTCCGTATAGAGGCAGGTTAACTTAATTCATAATAGAGATCCGTAGTTCATACATGAGGTATATCATAATTGAACAAAGCAGATAACTGATGGTAGCCAGGGCACCCTTAAACAGGATCCCAATATACTTGCGGTTAACAGATGGGTGATCCAAGTGTCTCTCTCCTGTGGAGCTGACTGTAAGGCTGCAGAATCCTTCACATCAAGCAAGGCGTATCAGAGCTGCAGGAGCTGTAGGTAGAGTGCGGCAAGACTTGGCACAGTTCAGAGCTGTGTGCGTCTCGCAGGGGTATTGCCCAGTGTCCACAACAACAGTAGGACGCTGGGCAATTAAAAACCTTGCGGTTTTAAGCTGTCAGCTCAAGCCAGGGGAGAGGAGCGCTAAGACGTAGCGGCGCTGGACGGCTGCGGACTGAGACGTCGGATCGTAGGGAGGTGAGTTTATTACAACCACAAGCGGAGATCTTGATATACTGATGTCCTATTCTCAGCTTGGACAGATCTATGGGAAGAACTGGTAACATGGCATGCCTTTCTTCTTTCCATGGCTAATGTTAAATTGTTACCAGTTGCACTTTTTTTTAGATGTCACTATATTTGATTCTAACAGCAAGCCCAATAAATTTCAGTATAAAAGGCACTGGTCTCACTTATACAGACCAGTCGTTATGCTACCTGATAGAAATGTAATCTGTGAGATAGCATACTTCTATCAAATGCATTATTACCGATGCCACCACTGCGACAGTTCAACTTTTTATTTTCTTCATGGGATATTCAGAGGCTTTATTTGAACAGGCTCTCGCTATACCCAGGTCACTGCAAAGAACCAGTGGTATTTGGACCTTACTAACTGCTGGTGATATTTCTTACAAGTCTGTGTGGCGTTGAATTCCCTCTCTGCCACTTAACAGGAATGTATAATGAGTGTCTACATATTTTCTTTCTTTGTCTATTATGGTCAGGCTTCAAAAAAAAATAACAATTGAAAAACTATTTTCTTTTTTTCCCCAAGTCACGCAACTACGAAACATTACATATCAATATTATGCAGTCTTCTATCCAGCCAGCAGGTTAAGCTGTAGTCTTCTTTTTACATCACTGGGAACTTATCCTTTTCAGCTGCACCAAAAGTTCAAAGTACTCAGCAAGCCAACAGAGTTTTACTCAAGCAGAGCCACAAGGTAACTGGTTCTGCTAAATCATCTTTAGATAACTCATAGTGCTCTAGAAATTATTGTCAATGTATTACATATGTATTTGCAAAACAAAGACTGACCAGAAACCATTATAGTGTCCTTTAAATACCTTAAGGCAATCTGACTGTGAATATGATTATATATTTCAGCTGGTGGTCACAAGGTGGTGGCCACATACATTTAAGTGTGAAAACAGATTTCAAAAGATATCCTGCTCTTCATTTTATTATTTGAAACTAAGAAATCAGTATCTCTTATTTTAGATAATTGTTTATTTTTTCGGAAGCCCTAATGACAACTCTGATGGATCCCTATTATTAGGTTCCTCTGTACATTAGCACAGGAAATGGCACCAAATGCCACGTACAAAAGCACCAAGCTCAGAGAATTTGTGGGTACCTGACCAATCCTGCCCCTAAACCAGAGGAATGAGTTCATCTAAGCTTTGCTTGCATTTAGTGTTGGGATCTAAAATATGTAGCGTAACAGCAAAAGGGTATAAGACTGCCCTTTTAGCATAGGGTGCATGACTGCATGCATAGAAACAGATACTGTAGTTTCAATAGTACATCAAAATCTGAAGGGTCCAAGTAAACACCACTCACCCCTGTTGTACCGCGACACCTCCTCCCAGAATGCTTTAAAGAGATCGGTGAGGTGTCTCTCCTTTTGTTTCACAGTAATCTTCTTCTTAATGGTCAGCTGTTCCAGGGTTTTGGAAACCGCACCGAGACGGCATTCACTTTCCTCCTGTATTTGGTATTTCAACAAATCCACCACCTTCGCCATGTTCTCCCAGCGGATCATCTTTTCTTGCATTTCCTTTAAATTTCAAATATGACAGTTAGATTGTAAAGTTGGCATTTCACAGAGGAAAAATGAAAAGTCTTGGAGCGTATACAGTGGGAACAGCCCACCATTTTAGGGCTTCTGTTTTATCCAGTTGTAGCTGTAATCAGCATGGGACAACCCCTGTCCTGAAAGGGCACTCCTTGTTGGTCTTGCTTCCCGATTCAAAGCCAAGGTATTTTCTGCTCCACTGGATTCTTAACTCCACTCCTCACATATCCTGAGAGAAGTCACATTTGCAGGATTTTCTTCACTTTATACAGGTGACTTAAGTATAACTAATCTTAACCATTTTACTACACTTTTAAGTGCATCACTGCGCTCACCTTTTGGCCTTGTTTCTCATTGTGCACCCGTGCCATAGATGTCTGCATGTCTCCCCTCAATTACATTGCCAGCCAGCGTGCAGCCAATAGGGACTGGGTCCAGGCTGCTGTCAATCACCGAGACTGTGAGTGGTGATGAAGCTTAAAGGAGAACTATGAGGTGAGTGCTTTTCACTCACCTCAATTTTGTGTCCTCCTGTAACCCTAAAGGAGAACTATGGGGAAAAGCCCTGACCCCATAGTTCTCCTTTAAAGGAGCAACAAGCTGTACAGTATGCGCTGGTTGTAGGTCATCATGTACAGGTTTTAGTCCACAGGGCAGCTTGAGGTGACAGCACTACTCCTGCTTACCAAGCAGTTTGGGAGCGTGGTCACCCAGGACAGTAAGGATGGGTTCACACCTAGGCGTATTGAATATGCGCGTTTGTCTGCGTTTCATGACGCACGTTTTTATAGCAATTCGCGGTAAAAAAAAAAGCGCGACAAACGCACGTTTTCGAGGGCTACCTGGCTGTATCCAAGTAGATACGCGTGGCAAATACGCCCAAAGAAGCTCCTATACTTCTTTGGGCGTAGGGCGTTTTGCAGCGCGTTCCTATGCGCTTTAAAACGCCCAGGTGGAAACCATGCCCATAGCCAAATCATTGGTTTTCACATGTTGAGCGTTTTACAGAGCGTAGGTACGCGCTGTAAAACGCCCAGGTGTGAACCAGGCCTAAGTTAAAATTGGCAGGATCACCAGTTAGAACGAAGGTGAAAGGAAGAAAACAAATACAGTGCAGGAACAAACTGAGGGTAAACTACTATGCTTTTTATTTTACATTATAGGTTTACATATAATTCAGTTGCTGGTTTCGTAATTATGAAAGCTATTTCTTCTGAGGAAATTTCTGAAGATGTGACTAGTCGGGGATACTGGAGGTCAGGAGTTAGGGAACACTGCTTTAGCCTACAAACTCCTTGTCCTGTATGGCTGTAGAATCTGGAAGTTTCTGATAATGTTACCCCCTTCCCCACTGAAATCATGGACCCACACACCTGACTCTCTGTATATTTCCTGGCAATCTAGCCTGCAAATATCCTGGGCTGTCCATCACATTACCCTCGTATGTCCCCACTGTCACTCTCAAGTGATGCTGAAGGCTTGCCCAGAACAGTACAGAGAAGCCAGCAGAAGAATAGACAGTCTTTCAGATCAAATTACTCAAAAGGTATCTAGAGTAGATGTTTTGATTGTAGCACACACACAGTTTCCAAGATGCCATTAGATCACTTGTGTTGAGCATGAAATTGCTTTCAAGGGAACAAGAGAGGTAATGAATGCTATTCATTGCTCTGCCCTACATTATATGTTCTGCCAGAAAGTTGAAGTTGCAGTAGAAAAAAAAGCACCTTCAAAAAAGAGTAAGTAGAAAAGTCAAGGCAGCTGACCATATGAATGTCAGGGGAACCCTCACTTGTTTACATGCCCCTTGGGTACACCAAATGTGTATTGTATGGAATGTAAGATTACCATGGTCAACTCCTCCTGAGAGTCACACAGGATGCTCTCCACTGAAACCATTTTTGATATAAGGTTCATCATAATTCTTCCAGCTTCATCATATGAGCACTTCACCTTCTCGTGAAGGAACTGATGGGTGCTCTCGATTTGCCTCCAGAAGCCTTCTAACTGTAGTAGAATAAAGCACAAAGACAGAACTTCATCATTTTTAGCATTAAGGTCTAGTTCCCCAAAAACTCAGTTTTAGATAGATGCACCATCTACTGCAGCTGTTAAAAAAAGTGGCTTCTCCCTGGACTGGATTTTACATTAAAACGAAACTCCAGACAAACATCTGAATACAGAGATAAAAGACACAAAAGGGAGCACTTTATCCTGGCAAAGGATTTGCACTGATGTCTTGAGATTAACACATCCTTATTACACAGCCCAGAGGATGACAGTTGTGTAATCTCTCCACCCAAAGCCTTCTGTCTGGACTGTGAGAGAGCAGCAACAGACAGATGAGGCCATCTCTCTGCTCGCTCCCCGGCCATCAGCATATTCATTTTAGCACATTTGCGTGCAGTATATCTGATTGGCTCCCAATGCTGCCCCTCCCTCTCCCAGTCCGGGGCTGCTATAGGAGTTGATTGCAAGAGGTTAACACCAAGTTAAACTTGGGTACTTTCATTGGTTGTATTTAAAAATAACTTTTCTTTTTGCACCTCAAATAATAGGTTTATTGAGCAAGAAAAGTACACGGTACATTATTATTAATTACTTAATTAAATTAATACAGAGTACAGGTACCAGTACTTCCACTGGCATGGAGCCAGCTCCCTGACCAATCAGGAAGCCAGGCAGCATGTCATTACGCGCCACCCGGCTTCCTGATTGCCTGGGAAGCTGGCTCCATGCTGTTTGGTCGCTCGATACTGATTGGCCGTGAAGCCGGCATCCCAGCCAATCAGCATCGAGTCGGCCAAAAAGCATGAAGCCGTCTACCCGGCCAATAGGAAGCCGGGGCGAGGAGTCATTACCCTGCTGCCCGGCTTCCTGATTGGCGTATTTGCCTTGAGATCAGCTTTAAATGTAACAGAAGTACCCAGACTCCACTCGCTGCAGCAGATGGGTTGAGAGTCAGTGGAGCCATGAAAGAGGAAGTAGAATGTCACCAGCACACTGGCAAATTGGTGAGATAAACGTCTTTTTACTGACGCATGTTGTCACAATGATAACCACAATCATGTTGCAGGGCCACACAGGGTCCCCTTCATCAGACCTTTATTTGACCAATTTGCCAGTCTGCGGTGCCAACCGCAGTCATTGCAGCAACGACTTTACCAGGGGGATCCGTTAAAGGGTGCAGTGTGATGCCCACTGGATTTCAGTGGAGCCGTGAACGCTTGCACTGGACTATGCTACTGGGTTCCAGTGATACAAAAGCATAAGACGTAGTTCATCCTCTCAGTGGCCACCCTGATCTGAAATAAAAGACTGACCTTTGAATAGGAAATCTGATAAATTACAGTTAGATTTGATTTGGCTGGTTGGTGAAATGATTGCAGATTCTCACGATAAAGGAGAATATAAATGTGGTGAATCATATTGCACTACAAGTGAGCTGATGTCTTGAATGGGAATAGCCACCCCCACATGACGTAACATGGCCTGACACTACTGCGTCACAGAGGAGCTTCCAAGGACTGTAACCAAAAAAGATGTTTTATCTTTGGGTGGGCACCAGTATTTTAAATCACTTGCTGCCTTTTTATTTTTTGAAAGCTTTAACAATTACAAACACAGTTTCATTACATAAGTCTATATATCAACCACCCTTTCCACATGGACAAAAGAAATGCATCCTTGCAGTGGGACAGTCCGCCCTACCTGTCTATCAAGATGAAACTGCATCATTTGGCAGTGTTAGAGTGGATCAGGGAATTTTGATAAGGAGATCTAAAGATGCCAACATAGGACTGCTTACTACCATTACCACAGTTCTACGGTGACTGGAATTCTCATAAGATTACAAGGCTCAGCAGAATGTGATCTAATACAATATGTTTAATGGTTGCTGCAAAGAGCTACAGGGTGTGCCATGATATATTTACTATGGATCTTCATGGTGGTCGTTATAACCTATTTTGTACATACATTTTGAATAAGATGATCGGAGTATTCTCTCTCTCTTCTTTCAATGTCCTCCATAGTCTGAAATTCCGAGCCCTGTCCACGAGTCTGCTTGCTGGAAGCGATCCTAGAGTGGTATGTCTGTTCTAGCTCCTCCAACTCCTGATGCAGTAATAAGAAAACAGCTGCATGCTTACCTATACTGTATTTAGTATAACTAGACAAAAGATGGACGAGCAGTCCTGCAGTACATCAGCAAAGCCTATAGTTTCAGGATATAATATCTGGAGAGCATTATTCACTTTAATTGATCCTTAACATCAGATACATTTTCAAGGTAAGTGCATGCGTGAGATCCCAGTAATCCCCAAGGCAATGTCATAATCTGCTTTTTTCTCTAGAAGAATGGCACAATCTTTGTCCAGGGTCAACATCTACTTCCTACACTGAGATGCTGGTTCAGAGATGACACTATCATGTAAATCCTGTGAAGATCTCAGCCACGTTGCCATATGTCACATAGAGATCAGCCCCCTGCTTTAGCCTCTTACCTTGTGACTTGCTACACAGTTATAATGTTGCAGTCTGTTTAATGGGGAAAAGAAGACTGAGGAAATACTTCCTCCTGTCTACAGCTGACTGATTATACCATCTTAGCCCAGAGGTGGGCAATTCATTTTTTAAGGGGCCACATGAGAAACTTGCACGGTTATGGGGGGCCGAGCCGACTACTTCATACCGCACAACGCACCTGCCGTGTGTTACAGTGTGGCATGTGCGTTGCATTTCCATTCATTTGAATGGCACCCAAATGCACCTCCTGGCCACAATGCGATCGACCGTGTCACATGCATGGTACCTCAATACCGTGCGTTGTGGTACAGTTGGAAAATGAGTGCATGCAACACAATGCATCTGCCGCACTGTAATGCATGATAGGTGCATTGAGTGGTACCATGTCATAATCGCACAAAACCATGCAATTAACTCACGGCATAGGTGTGAAGGGGTCCTGAATGAAGCTGTATTGTCCCCGCATAGTATGAGGCACATACCTTTTTTTCTTTATTCTCTCTAGGCCAGAGGTGGGAGGCGGAGCTGCAGGAGAGGACAGAAGATTCCCTTCCATCCTCCTGTATTGCTGAAGGCAGGAACACATTTGACATCACTGGTTGCTAGGACCACCTGGCGGTCCTAGCAACCAATGACTGCAGAGGAGGAGGACCCCTGATGTCATTGGGTGTTAGGATGTCAGCGGTCCTATCAACCGACGATTGAAGAGGACTGCGTCCTGGACACTGTCAGCCAGCCATAACTGAGCGCATGTCGGTGACTGGTCCGTGTCTGAACCACTGGCCGGACAGGGACAGACAAAGGGCTGTAAAATGCCCAGGCCTGTCTTAGCCTAATCAGCTCAAGGCCTGCTTTCTAACAATAAAAGGTAAATATTTTTTTGACTTACATTTATTGCTGTACACTGTGACATGTCACAAATGTATTCATGCAGACAGGTTCACTTTATTTGGTTACATTAATATTGCTCTTGCTGTGTGTATCTGTATGACTATGGTACAATCATTACATTGCAAGCTCCTTCAGGTAAAGAGACTGGAATGAGTGACTGTCAATCAAAATACCTGAAAGGCATGCGCTAGACCACTTGCACTTTACATTATTCAAGAAGGGCAAATGAGAAACACACATTATTCAACAAGGAATAACAAGAAAACACACAAAGTAAGACAAATCATGCATATTAGAAAATTTGTCTTTGGGCTGTTGCTAATTCATCTTGATTTAGACAGTATCCTGAAGCACCTCTTTAATCAACGTTCAGCATAACATACAATCTAAGGAGGCAGAGGGGAAGATGAAGCCTTACAGTCTCCTTTGAAGAAAGGATGTGCGTGTACAGGTCTCTATCAATTTTCTTCTCCAGCAGCAGGTCAGTCAGGCTGATGCGAAGAATCTGAACAAACATCTAGAACGCAGGATTATAAAGAGGAAAAATCAATGTTGTAGTAAATGCAAGGTGTGAGAGTCAGAGCAGAGCAATTTTTTCCTCACCTAATGCTTACAAGTGCCGTGACCTTTCTGCCACAAAAAAATAATGTATCCTCATTTTAAACATCATATTAAAGAAAAAGTTTACAGTGCAGTTAAAAATCTAATCAATGTGGTAAAATGGGAACATACTGTATATAGGGGCGTATCTGCCGCGAGGCAAACAAGGCGTTTGCCTGGAGCGGCAGATTCCCCGAGGGCGGCAATTGCTGTGGTCGAGAGAAGGGGAGAGAACCGGAGGCCATCGTAGCAGCGTGGACGCGGACGGCGGCTTGCGGCGGTGTCTAGACAGCGGGCGGCATCGTTGCTGTCTTGCCTAGGGCAGCAGGATTTGTAAATACACCACTGACTGTACAGCCAGACTGCTTATACCACAGACAGATGTATGAATGTTTTCAGAACACACCAAGGTCATAAGTGACCTCACACCGCAGGTACATGAAAGGGCCAAAAGTCTGTGGACATCAAACCATCAAAGCTACAATATGCACATGAGCATGTCGACACCCCACCAAATTATTGGGTTCAGATGTTTCCAGTGAAGGGTACTGTAGCAACAGTTTAGGGAAGGGCCTTGCGATTAATTGAAACGCTGATTGCAAGCCAGGTCTTCTTATCCCACATCAACCTGAGCATCAACCTGACCAAACAAATTCTATGGGTTGAATGTGCAAAATCCCCACAGACACACTCCAGCATTTTGTGGAAAGCCTTTCCAGAACAGTGGAGGCTGTTATAATTGGAAAGGGGGCTCCAACTCAATGTTAATGACAATGGTTTTGCAATGATAATCCCAACAAGCCCAATGGGCATCAGTACCTGACCTCACAAATATTCTATTAGCTGAATGGGCAACAATTACCACAGACACACTTTAATATTCTGAGGAAAGCCTTTCCGGAATTGTGAAGGTTGTTATAGCTGCAAAGAGGGGTCCAACTGCAAAGAGGGGTCCATGGTCATGGTTTGGGAATGGGAAGTACAACCCATATAAGTGTAATGATCGGGAGACCACAATTTTTGCCCATACAATGTGGAACTACATGACTGCCTATCTAACAGGAAAGTAGCACTCAAACATATTCTTACAAAAAAATGTTAAAAGGAAACATGAGTTGGCAGAAATATGGGGGCTGCCATTTCTAACCTCCTTCTGAAGATGCTGGTTACCTGGCATTTTTCAACTGCTTTACTTTTTCAGTCACAGACCAGGAAAAGGCATACAGCCAGCAATGTCACAGTAAAGCCTGGAATACTCATCTACAGATTTGTTTAAGGTCTAAAACACAAACATTATTGAAGCCAAACCTGGCAACTTGAATTTTCAAAAGATCAAGATGTCAGCAATAGCAGACTCCAGCTAGAGGTGATTAAATAAGCCAGGCCATGCAATAAGTAATTTTCAAATGCAGTAATCCACCACGTGCAATGAAATCTTCTACTGACTCTGGTAACATGGTTGCTTTGGGTAATTGTGGTTTCCACCCCATTACTGCACTTTGCATTTACATTTTTACCTTTGACACTCTGACAAGATATTGCCCACACCTTACAGTGTGGCTGTTTTGATGCGTGCAGTTTTATTCAATCACTTTCTATTGACTTTTTCAGGTTAGAGTAAAAAAAAATAAAAAAAAAAATTAGGCAGAGTGAAAATGTATTTTTCTTGATAGAGTTTATTGTATTGAACTATATTTTTATCTATTCAAACCTGTCATTTACGATTGAATCTAAAGTTGATCTAATAGTAATCAAACATGTTTTTGACAGCAGCAATTGATTTTTTTTTTTTTTTTTTTTTTAAAAACAAAATTTTTTAAAAAAAAACAA